GACTGGTATGGTGCTGTGGCAGATCTGACAGCCAAAACTCAAAAACATTCAAACAGGAACTTCTGTCCTGCTTTACAACACGGAATTTTCAGGATAAACTGGTCTTGTTTCCTAACCATAATGAAAGTTTGCCAGCTGAAAAAAGAAAAAAGGCTTCTGATGCACCCTGTACCACGCTGCCTCGCTGGCATCAGAAATAAAATGTGAGAATTTGGCTCCATTTGGCTGACACCAAGTCTCTGCATGAGCAGGGCTCTTAAAATATTTCAGACTATCAGAAAAAAAAAACCTCCTCTTGCATCATGGTGGTCACAAAGACATGGCAACAGTCCCTCCCCAAAAACATAATGTTTTTGTGAGACTCATGCCTTGCATGGAAGACTCAGGCACCTCACCGTGCTTTGGGACAGAAAGCAATTTGCAAGAGGATTCATCAGGGCCTTTTTACATATGCTTGTCTCTGAATCACCCATATATGACTAACCAGAAACCATGAAGAGCCGTAATTGCCGTTCCATGTACCCTCCTATTCCTCTGGAAGATCATAAAGGAAGAAAAACCAGCAAAGAATTTAGGAGGATTAGTTCCTAACAACGACAGTGAAAATCTGCGGGGAAAAAACCAATCTTGCTGGACTCAAAGTGCAGATTTGACTGCTCAGTACCAGTCCTTCACGCCTGGGGAGCTGATACAAATCTCTGAAAGAGACTGTGTGAACTCCTCCCATCTCCAGCATATTTTCTTCCTCTGCTTTACCACCTTGGTTGGTCCCTGAGAGCAACTCATGAGGTCCAAGAGAAAAACTGTGGTTGAATTTCCTCCTCCTGGACTAGCTGTGAGAAGCTGATGATGTCAGCCTCTTATCTCCACAGAGCATTCCCCCAGCTCTCCATTCACCTCACACTGAGTCAGCCCTGGGCTTTGCCACACAGAAACATTCTGCACGCTTTTAATTCGCCAGGCGGCCCCGGGAGGGAACGGAGAGTCACAAAAAAGGGGGCTGCACCAAGGGTTTGTATCTGTTTTGTATTTGAAGTATTGCAAAGATCTCCATGTCTAAATGGTTCAGGAAAAAGAAGGAACTAAGTGGCCTGATACTGCCCTGTTGCATTGCCAAGGCACTGAGATGTGTGGGACATCCAAAGGCCCTGTGACACCAGTGGGGACTGTCCCCAAACCCAAAATTTAATTACCAAGGCCTTCCTCATTAGGTGGTCTCCTAGCTAAAGAGAAGCCTCACACCCCCTTTTGCTGCAATTACTAATAAGCAGAAATGCCAGAGCCAGAAGTACCGGTGGGTGTTTTTTTTTCTGCTATGTAGGTTCTGTGACTCGGGATGGAAAGATGCACCAGCCTCCAAAAGCCATCACAGCTCTGTCACAGCTGCAGCTGGCTTGATCAACATGTATTCAGGCATCTTCTATGGAAATGTTGATTAGTGGTTGCCATGCAAAGAACTCCCAGCTCATCTTCTCTGAAAACCCCTTAGTTAAGTGTTAATGGCACTTCACAAATCTGCACAGGTTTGGTTTGTTTTTTTTTTAAAGAGCCAAGAAAAAGGTAAATAAGGAGGGGAGCTATAACACAATCCAGACAGCACCTTCTCCCTCCATTCTCAATTCACCCAGAAAATTTTCAGTAATAATTTTTGGTGGGTTTTTTTCCCCCTTTCCTTCCACACTCCCTGCCCCCATTGACTCTCCAAGTAAAAGATCCTAAGAGATGGCCAGCTGAATGGAAACAGGAAGAGCTCAGGATTCAAAGTGACACGTCCTAGCAAGTGTACCTTCTATCCATACATTTCCTTAAAAAAAAAACCCCAAAAAACAAACCCCCCCCCCAAAAAAAAAAAAAATCACTACAACCAAAACCAAACAAACAAACCACAAAAACAGCATTTAAAAAGGACAAATACTTGGAACATTAAGAAAACGGATCACACACACCGCAAAATTTTCCACACGTGCCTTTTGGAAAGAACACAAAACTGAGCTGGAATGAAACCTCTCTCACAAATATTTCTGATTTTGAGGAAGGGGCACTTTCTGATGGAAATACGTCCTCGAGAAACGTTTGCAATCCACTGCTGGAAGCTGCAGCAGATCATCAAATAAAAGGCTAATGAATAAGCAACTCCAAAATGTTTCTGAAAGGCACAGTCCCATTTGCAGGGACAGACCACAAAGATCAATCCCTTTCTGGGCATTATTTTGTAAGCACAAAAAGCCCATAGTCTACAGTATGAAAAGGAATGTACCTGAGAGTACTGAGAAAAGAGTCGATGAGGGCAGCAGCAGTTCCAGGTTGAGGGGAAATGCAATGAACACAGTCTGGTAGGATTTAAAGGGGAATGAACTTCCTCTCTGTCTCCAGAGTAGTTCCTAGAGGGATCTGCTATCTCTTACCCCATCCTATCCCACCCCTAGGACATCTCTCTCTTCTCCCAGTCATATCAAGAAAAAATACCTCCCAAGACTCACAGCTCCTCCCCTAGTTCTCCCTCCTACCCACAAACCCCAAGTATTAAATAATAAAATCACCAGGACTTGGTGTTTTGTAGGTAAATGGGTGCAGTATGGCAAACAAGCTGGAGGACACAAGAAATGTGGGAAGATCTTAAAATTTCTCAGCTCTTTCCTCCCTTTTGTTTACTTTGTCCCCAGTATTTCCCTGACTAGAGGAGTCTTGTCCATCTTTTGCTAGCCTACAAAATTCAGCCTCCTCCAGTTTCCACTTGCAAAGCAATTTCCATTCACCTGATTGTTCTTGCTCTTCTTCTGTACATCCTCCCTGACTAAATTTAGGTCACCAACCATTCACACAGCATTCCAGAGGAGGCCTTACAAAACTGAATACTTCCCAGGTGGTACTGAACATGCTTGTTCTGAGACTTCCAAAGACTTGCACCTGCAGTTTTTATGGCTGCATCACTCTGGTGGCTCAGTGAGTGACACTGGCACCCTGGCTGATCTAAGCACCCCCAATCTTTCTTTCTGTCTGTCTTCCACCAAAATCCCTATGGCATTAATTTCTGTGCTATTAAATATCTTTCCATTTCTCTTAAAGTCAATTATTCAGTCATCTAGTTCTGTGTCCTAATCCACAATCTTGAAGATATCACTTGGGTTACTTCACTGCTAAATTTTGTAGGCTCAGCTCTACTGTTAATATTCTGAACAATCCCAGGACTAATCCTTGAGGAACATTTTTACTCTGTTTTTTACTGAGTGAGAGAATGGATCAACAGAGGTGATTCTGCCCCTCTGCCCCACTCTGGACAGACCCCCCTGCAGAGCTGCCCCAGCTCTGGGATCCCAGCACAGCAAGGACAGGGAGCTCTGGGAGAGAGTCCAGAGGAGACACTGAGATGATCAGAGGATGGAGCAGCTCTGCTGGGAGGAAAGGCTGGGAGAGCTGGGATTGTTCAGCTGGAGAAGAGAAGCTTTGGGGTGATCTCATTGTGGCCTTCCAGGACCTGAATGGAGCCCACAAGGAAGATGGAGAGAGACTATTTCCAAGGGCCTGGAGTGACAGGACATGGGGAATGGCTTCAAACTGACAGAGAGCAGGGTTAGATTGGATATCAGGGAGAAATTGTTCCCTGGGAGGGTGGGCAGGCCCTGGCACAGGTTGCCCAGAGAAGCTGTGGCTGCCCCATCCCTGGGAGTGTCCAAGGCCAGGTTGGATGGGGCTCTGAGCAACCTGGGACAGTGGAAGGTGTCCCTGCCCAGAGAACTAGATGATCTTTAAGATCCCTTCCATCTCATAATCATTCTGTGATTCTACACCTCTATTTCTTCTATTCACCCTGACCTGTCCCATCTCACGTGGCATTTTTCTGTACAGCATATGCAAAGATCCAAAGAGTCAAGAGCAGGAAAGATATAGCCCAATCTGTTTAAACACAGCATTCCCTCAAAACAGAGACTCTGAAACCAGCAGATACACAGCCAGCCCACCACGACCACAGTAATTTTCATGCAAGCCCTAAGAGCAAGAACCTGCAGGAGGGGCAGAGTTTGTCTCCACGTCTACCTCTGCCACCTTTCTGCTGTTGTATTACTTAGGACTTGCAATCACATTTCTGTAGCTTCAAACTCTCTGTACCCACACAGAAAACACCCAAGCAAGAGGAAGGCAACACAAACTGGAATGGGAGAGCAGTCAAGAATTCAGGGCCAGCCCTCTGCATGAGGAACCTGCTGACCACACGAGCCCCTCACCAGCCTGCATTCTGCTCCAGCCCTGGCAATGGGAGTGTGATGTCAGGGACACAAAAGAGCTGAGCGTGGCACTCGCCTCCACCTTCTGGTGTGACAATGGCACACCTTCCTGAGAGCTCCAGAGCAGGCAAGAGGACCGTGGGCCAATTCTGCTTTCAACAGGGATAAATTTGGAGTCACTTCACTGACGTCAGTGGAGTTATTCCAGAATTGCACCCGTGTAAAAGAGGGCAGCATCTGCTTTCTGAAAATGGATGCCATCAAGCTAATTGAAAACAACAGATGCATCAAGGAGCAGCAAGAAGAGAGGGTAATGCTCCAGTTTTCTTGTAAAATACCATTTAATTTCCCTCCAAAGAATGTAAGAGTATACACCAATATGTGCTGGAGTATACACCGCTATGTACTCTAAAAGCTAAGCCTTCTGTGGGTGTAAAATTGTATATAAGCTTTCAGGTGAATGGAATGTGTATCTGCAACACCTGAAGAGATTTTGTCTCATCACCTGCATTTACAGCTCTCTTCTTTGGGCCTGATTCTTCTCTCACATTTAAATTAGGAGTCATACCCCTCCTATTCTTAAGGAAGTATTTATCCAACCTTGGGTGGAGAGCAGAATTGAGGCCTCTTTTTTCTTCAAACAAACAACAGCTGAATTCGGTAATTAAATGGATAAATTTGTGATTTACAGCATGTTTTTGACTAAGGATCTTCCAAAATTTTATATCACTGAATAAATAAATACCTTAGTGAAAATAAAGCCAAAGAAGGACTTACTGGATCTTCAGGGATATTCTGTGTGAAGACAAAAGTTTCCCATAAATCTTGTCTCTAATGAATAGACAACAGAGCTTCAGTATTTAGGCTGACCATGGAAGTTGATGAGCACTTTCCCTCCTGTAAATTCTGTTTTTCCTTTCACTAAGGAGTGCTTGGACATCGCTTCAGCCCCTCTTCTTAATTTGCACTACAGACAACACGGATATTCCCAGTGGTGAGGGTTTATCAGAGAATGTTCATGCTTTAGCAATGTAAAACCCACTCTGATCACAGCCACGTGCTTCCCAGGGTGTAAAACCATGCTATGATATGCAAGCTCCTGCATCAGCCAACAAGCCCCAGAGAGACTTCCCTGGATCACAGGAAAGCCCAGGGAAAGCATGTGGAATTAACAGGTACTAACAGCACAAGCTACACTGGAAAGCAATTAGTGCAGTCTCCGTCTGCTTTCCCAAAAAAACCCCACTTTCCTGGATTTATCTCCCTGGCTAGGCTCGAGTGTTACTCAGGACCTGACCCTCCAAAAGAAGAGCTCCTTCTTGAAACTGGCAGGCAATTTCCTCACCAACTGTCTTTGGTGGCAGCTCAGGACACTCAGCATTCACGGGCTCCTTTCACCAGGGGATTAAGCCTTTTCATCCTGCAAACACCTGCTCCCCTCCTTCTGTGTAAAGCAGGTGACTGCAATTCAGGCATTAGACTGTGAACCTGCTGATAACAGGGCTACAAATGTCTTCAGAACGGGATCTGTCTCTAGTGCAACTTCAAAGGGCAAGATGAAGAGCTCATTTACAGCAACGTAAACAGAGCTATCTTGTGCTCACAGGGCTGCCACAGAGGGCAGGATCTTCTTTAGTCTTAAACCTCCCTGTGGATTTCTCCACATACTCCCACCATTAAGAAATAAATAGACAAAATGCTGCTGCTCTCACTCCTGTCAATATAAACTTCAAAGAGAAGCTTCACTTCGCTGGGCTCTGCAGACTTACTTGGACTCAAGTCAGAGGAGCACTTTTGGGAAAGCTGTGGTTTAACTCCTGCTGTAATCCACAGATCCTTCCCTGGCGTAAACAGGACCTCAAGAAAAGAACAAACAAAAACAAGCAGTTTAACAAACAGTACATAAGCACTGACTTAATGCAGCAGATTGAAGTGGGATATAATCCAAGGTAGTTGTACTAAAAGGAGTTTTGCCAGCTTGAATCAAGCAGATGGTGAGGATCTGGCTCATACTATATTTTTGTAGTTTATAATTATCTTTCTTTCTTTCTTCACCTAGAACCAGATCCTCCCTTTAGGCTGCAAATCTTAATTATGAAACCCTTCCTCATTAGTTTCGAGAAATTCTTAGTCATTAATTTCACAGAACAAAAAGAAGCCTTACCTATTTCAGCTACAGCAGCAGAAGCTGGAGCTGTTTGTTCCTTTGCTTTCAGGGTTGATGCTGTTCTTTCCATCACTCTGCAGAAGACACTTCAGTCCTTACCCTCTCTTACTGCCCTGAATTTCCTTTATGCTCACTCTCCTTTATCTCCACAGGGATCCCTGTTTGCTGAACGAGAGGGCCGAGGAGAGAACACCCAGTCCAGCCACCTTCACCCCCACAGCTGCTGGAGCAGGGAATTTTTATCCATGAAAGGGCCAAACAGAAAAATTGCTCGGAAATCCCGAATTCCAACATTTTCCAGGCAGGAGCAGAATAGGAACGTCATCTTGGAGGGAAGTGCAAGAATCCACCGGGAATGCAGACCTTGAAATATCACAAAACAGGTCTTCATGCCTTTCACACTTACAGTCCTTTAGGTGGATAAAAAACTGGTGTCCTCAGTAGGATTCTTTTCCTTCCTTCCTCACCTCCAAGGAGATGATTTCTGCCCTGCCCTGATTTGGTGCAAAACATCCTGTGGGAAGATTCTCTGGGGAACTGATTGTCACAAACCAGCCAAGGGATCAGGAAGGAACAAAAGCCTTTTCCAGTGCAAAACTATTCCCTAAGTGAGACTGTTGAAAGAGGAATTTCTGATTTTTTCATGTGATGCTTTAGCTTGTATTCACTGGGCACCCAGATAACTCTACAACCACAGGCCAGCTGTCCCTCAGCTCCTTGGCTGAGTGCTCAGATTGTCCCTTCACACACTCTCCACCCCTTTTTGAACAAATAAAATCTCTTCCCATCTCCAGGTTTGCACTCCCTTCTTTCCAAGGCTGGTAGCTGTCCTTCTGAAGTTGGACAGGACGAGTTGTACACGACACAAGGCGATGGGATCATCTTCAGGAAGTGAGGAAAACGTCCGTGAGGATGAGCTGCTAATATCTGAAAACAAAATATCCAACGAGTGCTTTTGCTTGTAGCCACAGTCACAGCGCAGAGAGAAACAGTCCGGGAGGTTGTTATGGAAACAACTCCCTGGAGGTGCCTACTTGGCTTCACAAGGATGTGCTCTACCTTCAGAAGGAAATAGCTGCAGAAAGAACCTCACAGATTTGCCTTTTGAACGTTCAGGGGTGAGAACTTGAGGGAAAATTCTTGAAAGCATCTCTGTGATCTGGTGACAACGAGACCTCCGTAAAGTCAGTGGCACAGGTGCCACTACGTCACTTCAGTCACAAAATAAACCACAAAACCTTAATAAAAATGTCAAATTCCACAAGCTCTATAATATATGGTATTATTGATGACTCTGGGACTTCACTGCAGTTCAGGAGGTGCTTACAGAAGGATTTACGTGCCCAAATGACTCCCAAGGTTACAATTTCCACGCTTCTGCTGCCTTTTTGCATTTCTCAGTAGCTCTAACACAGAAAACCCAGGGAACAAACACCGCTCCTGCTTTGCACATTTTTTCCATGAACTTTCTTGGGAGAAATTAAAAATGTGGATCACAAAATCCGCACAAAGCTGCCTGTTTACAACACAATTCCTTCGCACCTTGGGTACGCAACGCCCCGCGTCTGTGTTTTAAAACCCACTAGAAACTCAGTGCTGAATTTCTCCAGAGACTCCATGCCCAGATGCCTGTCATGTTGGTCAGGAGAACAACCTGTTCTGAGCAGGGAGGGCTCCTGCCTGGCAGGGGCAATGGGGCCAGGCCCGAGGGAAGAAAGGAGCACGGGAATTTTCCGAGGCAGGCTCAGTGTGCGTCTCAGGACTCCTCCTGAACTTCTGTTTTAACCTGAGTTTTTTATATCCTGCTTTGGGGAAACTTCTCTCAGCTGAAATACTCAGGCATAAAATAACCCCAAACATGGGCATTCTGCTAGGACAGGGCAGCAGCCTTGGAACATCCCTCTTAAACAGCAGGTTCTTTTGCTGGTTTCCAGCAACGGGGAATTTGAAGGGAAGTCCCTCTCTTGCCCTCACAGTAAAGATTTCCTTGTAGTGACCCTGAAACACAACTAAGGACAACACCAGCTTTTTACTGAATAAACTCAATGACCTGGACTTAGGTTCTTTCAGACAAAATCAACAGAGATGGCACAGTGCTGATCCTTCCTCAGTCCCACTCATTCACCAGGACAACTTACCCACCAGCTGGTTACGCTCTTCAAGGGATGCAGAACGGCTCCCAAGGCCCAGAGCTCCACAAACCTCTGCCTCAATCCCGAGAAAGCAAAGGGAAATTCTACATTATTCAGGCACACTCCTCTGAGCTATGAGCCCTCACCACACCACACCGGCACAAGTGGCATTTTCATCCTGATTTCAGCGAGGGAGAGAAAGGAGATTTTAACATAATGGTTGTGTGCTGACCCCACGGGAGATCCCAGCACGCTAAAAACCTCGGAGAGGACAACAGGGCTCTGGAGAAACGGAGCACACTCAGGATTTGCACAAACAACTTCCACCATATGACCAGGGCCCAGGTGAGGGCAGGCCACAATAAAAGCACTCCAGGCATGGAGCCACATCTCAAGATGACTGAAAACAGGCAGGGTAATGAAGATGCAAACAGATCCCATCTCACAGCCAGTTCTGACTATATTAAAGTATATGGATGGAGCTCTGAGCAACCTGATCTAGTGGCAGGTGTCCCTGTCCACGGCAGAGGGGTTGGGACCAGATGATCTTTTAGGTCCCTCCCAACAACATGCCTTTAGAATTCTTAGCTTCATGGCTGAAAAGCGTTATATATACATAAAATGCATTCTGTGTATTTTGCACCTTGATATTATGTCTGGTTTATGTATTCCATGCAATATGAAGTACATTCTAATATGCATATCATACAGGATGATGCAAGGCATTAATGGCTGCCTCTGCTTTCATACACATGCAGACACGTGAACGCAAAACATACACTCAAGAGTTAAAACAAGAAAGGCTTTTCCTCGTGGAAGAATTTGCCAGCAGAATCTGAAAGCATCCATTCCCCCTTTTCACCTGCTGGCAGCAGTTGAAACACTTTAAAGTTAGGTGCAAGGCAGAGCTGACTGAAGACCAATTAAATAAATGATCTGGGAAGCAAAATGTGCCTCTTAAGACAGAAATCTCTGGTCCCTTGGCAAACCCAGCACTGCAGGCCAAGCTATGCATGTCTTGCATTGCTGGCATACGCTGCTCTCCTAAAACCCAGTGCAAAAAACACTGCTGTCCCTTCTATCCACAAAACACCAAGCTCTGGCTGGATCAGTCCTACATGCAAAAGCGTCCCTTCCAGGCTGGCTGCTTCTCCCCTCACTTGAAACCCCTGGGTTTGTGCAGATAGCTCAGGGAAGTTTGTAACCTCAGCCTCAAATGTTAACACGCTTACCCTGGGGCAATTTATGCCCGTGTGAGTGGTTAGACCAGCGAGATCCTCCCACAGCACAGGTGCAGCTTCCCCGTGCTGGGAATTTTTCAGCCTTGTCGACAAAGTCACACTACCAGGCAAACTTCCCTCAGCTACACCAATGCTCAGTGGAAAAGAAAAAAAAAAAAAAAAAAAAGCAGTGGAGTCAACTGCTCTCACATGCCCGAACGCAGAGCTGGGTGTCTGAGGCACAAAGCACATCTCATTAAACGCTACTGCGTGGAGATAACAAATGAATTTACTCGAATGCGCCTTGCGTCGGAAGGCACTTACCACCGCGAAGATAAAGTTGGTACTATAAAAGCCAATTAACATCAGGGCACTGGCACAAATAAGGCTGAGATAAGCTCAAAACACAGAGAATCTTCCCCAAGCCTGTTGATTGCTACAAGCCTGTTTTTGATACGTGGTATATACGGCCACACAAACCAAAAAGGGGATCTCTAGCATGCCGAGGGTTGCAAAGAAGGCAGGCATCTGCTTGCTGACTCTGCCCTACAGCTGCAGAGCTCCCCGTGCTCCTGGCTGCAGCGTTTCCATCATTCCGAGGCGATGGCAGGGCAGGCGTGACCGATCCCACAGCCAAGGGCACCGCCGGCACGGGAACCAAGGGCACGGCTCGAGCCAGATGTCTGCGGCCCCTTTAACTGCTCACTGTGCTGGATCCTTCGGCTGAAGGAGTGCCAAGGGCTTCTCTGCCGGTGGAGTAACAAGGCTCGGTCTCAGGGCAAATGCTGGGTTAAAAGCAGTCTTCAAAAGCAGGGAGGGAAATTCACAGGGGCGTGGGGATGACAGCTCGCACTCCACGGAATAAAGCGAGGACGATTCTGGCTGCACACAGTAATGAGAAACAGCAAATCAGGACAGAAGAGCCCATTATCACAATCATTCTGTTTACGGTATCACAATTCACAGTCTGGCATGTAAATGCTGAACAGATCCAGCTGCTTGTGGCAGGGCTGCTGTGCAGCAGCTCGCAGCTCTGTGTCTGGACCCAGGAGAACAGAACCGATCACACCTCTGTCAGCATTTTCTTCTCTTTGAAACCCTGGTTATTGGGAGGGATGAAGTTGGAGTATTTCATGGACTCCAGGTCTTCTGCCTCCAGAAATTCGGATTTGCTGAGAGACTGATTGCTGTCCCCCTTCTTAGGCTCAAAGAAAGGTGACTGCTGCTGGCCACAGGTGACGTGGGTGTACTGGCACTGCTCCTCGTGATCGGTCTCCCGGTGGTAGAAGTAGTTGAAGTTGGACACGATGACAGGGACGGGGAGGGCGATGGTGAGCACACCTGCAATGGCACACAAGGAGCCCACAATCTTGCCACCAATGGTCATGGGATACATGTCCCCGTAGCCCACGGTGGTCATGGACACCACTGCCCACCAGAAAGCATCAGGGATGCTGGTGAACAGGGAGTCAGGGTCATCAGTCTCTGCAAAGTAGACAGCGCTGGAGAAGAGGATCACCCCGATGAAGAGGAAGAAGATGAGGAGACCCAGCTCCCTCATGCTGGCCTGAAGAGTCTTCCCTAAGATCTGCAGCCCCTTGGAGTGCCTGGAGAGCTTGAAGATCCTGAAGACTCTGACCAGGCGGATGACTCTGAGGATGGCCAGGGACATGGCTTGCTGCTGGCCCCCGTTGTTGCTGCTGCCCCCGGACTGTTGCTTCTGCTGCTGCTGCTGGGCCAGCTCGGTGCCCAGGGTGATGAAGTAGGGGATGATGGCCACGATGTCGATGATGTTCATGATGTTGCGGGAGAACTCGGGCTTGCTGGGGCAGGCGAAGAAGCGCACGAGGAGCTCAAAGGAGAACCAGATGATGCACAGGGTCTCGATGAGGAAGAAGGGGTCCGTGAAGAAGGGGCCGGCGCCGGCGGCGGGGCGCAGGGGCGGCGGGGTCCCGCTCGGGGGCGGCGGCGGCGGCAGCAGCAGCGCCTCGTCGCCGAGCTGTGCCGCCTCCCCGAAGCCAGGCTGGGCGCCCTTGGGCTCCTGGCGGAACTCGGGCAGGGTCTCCAGGCAGAAGATGACGATGGAGATGAGGATGACCAGCACGGAGACGATGGCGATGGCGCGGGCCGGCCCGGAGCTCTCGGGGTACTCAAAGAGCAGCCACACCTGGCGCTGGAAGTGATGCTGAGGCAGGGGCTTCTCCTCCTCTTGGATGAAACCCTCGTCCTCCCGGAAGGTCTCGATGGCCTCCTGGCCCAGCTGGTAGAACCGAATCTCCTCCAGGAAGATGTCGAGGGGCACATGGACCGGCCGGCGGAGCCGCCCCCCGGACTGGTAATAGTAGAGGATGGCGTCGAAGCTGGGCCGGTTGCGGTCGAAGAAGTACTCGTTGCGGAGCGGGTCGAAGTAGCGCACCCGGCGGCTGGGGTCGCCCAGCAGCGTGTCGGGGAAGATGGAGAGGGTCCGCAGCTGCGTCTCGAAGCGCAGCCCGGAGATGTTGATCACCAGCCGCTCGCTGCTGCAGCAGCTGCCGCCGCCGCCGCTCCGCTCCTCGCCCGGCGCCTCCGCCTCCGCCTCGCCCGCCCGCGGGGCCGCCAGCGCCAGCGGCTCCTCCGCCCGCATCCCGCCCGCTCCGCTCGCCCTCAGCGCCCGAACCCCGCCGCCATCCGCCTGTTGCGCCCCGGGCCGGCCGCGGCTCCCGGAGCGGCTCCTCCCGGAGCACGGCGGGCACGGTGGAGCTCTGCGGGGCTCTGCGCGGCTCTCACACACACACACGCACACCGCGGGGACAGGGAGGGGCGCGGGCACACGGGGTGACACGCAGCGGCACGCGCAGACACGCACGGGCACACGCAGGGACACGCAGACACACGGACACGCAGACACACGGACACGCAGACACACGGACACGCAGAGACAGCGCGGGCGCGCTCAGGGATGCGCGCACCCGGCACGGCGAGACACACACACACAGACACACACAGACACACAGACACACGCACCCGCGGGCGGGGGATGCTCGGCCCCACCTCTCCCCGGCAGCAGCCGGATTTTGGGGGGCACGGACACCCCCGCGGGGACCGCGCTGCGGAGCGCAGCTCTCCTGCCGGGCAGCCTCGCAACAGCTCGTCCCAGGGGCGGCACCGCCCCCGCCCCTCTTCCCCCCACCTCCCCACCCTGGAAACCTGCCCCTGCGGCCAAACCCACGCGTGGGGGGCTGTCCGGCGGCGCTCAGGGCTCAGCCGTGGCAGCCGGCGGGGCTCGGCGCTGTTCCCGTCCCTGCCGCAGGCTGGGGCTGACCTTGAGCCAGGCGCTCCGTGCCCGTGGCTCGCGGACCTCCATTTGTAAATGTCACTGCCGTGATGCGAGCGCGGCGGTGGCACCGGACCATCCGCAGATGGACACAACCTGTCACGGCGGACAGGGCAACTGGGGGAAAGACACGGGGCAGTGCGGTTTCCCTCCTCTTATTTGTAGGGGATGGAGTTTTCCCCTTCTCCCAGGTACCAAACAGGTGAGCTTGCTCTTTTTTTTTTTTTTTAAATCACCACACAGTCAGCACTAAGTCTCCTCGAGAGCCAAATCTCCATTTCAGAGGCACACTAACAGTTCTTTTGGCTTTAGAAACCTGTGGCTTGCTCCATCCATGTCACACTTAGCTTCTGAAAGCCTAGGGAAACTCACGACCGTGTACATTCTCCCGAAATAACCCGAAAATGGGGCTAACAGGTGAGTTCTGCTTCCATCCTTCCCAGGGCAAGTGTCTGTCTTTCCCTTGAAAGACCCCTCTATCAGTGCTAAATATTATTAACCAGGCTTTTATCATCACAGTATCTGATGCCTTTGCTGGCTGCAAGCCATGTGCTTAGCCTACACTATCTCATAGCAGCACATATCTGGAGGAAAACATTCCCCTCTTCACCCCTCCTCCCAGTTCGTCCAAACTGGCTGGCACTACCCAGTTCGGGCTCTGGACATTTGGACCAGCTGACTGTGGCTGCCTTGTTTGGCTCTGTCCTCAGCAAGGAGGTGAATATGATTTAAATGTCACTTAATCCTTTTTCCTTTCTCGCTCATTAGCACTGAAGATGGCTGTTGCAAAAGGAAGCATATTATTTTTCCTTTACGTGAAGATGGCTGTCGCACAAAGAAGAGTATTTTTGTTTCATATTATACGTAATTGGGGTAAGGAAAAACAACTGCCCAGAGAATACACCTTTTCTTTAAAAATAAATCAAATAAAATCAATGAATCGATGTTTACCTTTGTAATAGCAAAATGCTTCTTGCTGAAATTTCTTTTTCAGTTATTACAGTGAATTATCCTTCCCTGGGATTATTCGAATCATAATTACGATTTATTCATTTGCATGGTTAACTATTGAGAAACCCTCTAAAAACAGCTTTTGAGAGGGATGGATGGAAAAGCTCCCAAGGTTTATAAGAGGATACAGGGCATGTCTACACTGCTGTGACTGAGCTCACCCTGTGCTGGCTTTAAACGAGCGAGCTCCAAGCAGCACAGCAGGGACAACGTGGAGCTCCACCACCGTTAGCAGGAGGATTTTCCAGCCCTCCCCACAGACATTTTGGCTGCCACAGCTCTGGTCTTCACGTTACCTGAGCGAGCAGTGTCACAGAATGCTGTGAATCTGTGAAAGAGCTGAGGGGCAGTCCCACCCATCCATCCCTTCCCACCACATCCCACCCCTGAGCAGGCACTCAGGCTGCTCCACTCCGCCTCTGCTCGCTCCTGGAAGCCCCTCAGAAACCACTGTCTTTCCCTCTGTGCCCTTACCCTGCACTTCAGTCTCAGTATTAAATCCAGAAGCCTTTGCAACGTGCAACCCAACTCTTTTTTAGCACGCAGGCTGTTCCCCAAGCGCTCTGCACCACAGTGCCTGTGCAGCCCCACCCTCACTTCTATATTGAGAGGAGATGCCAGCTGCCACCATTCAGCCTCCCTGCGGATCCTGCTGGGCCAGCAGCTCCCAATGGCACACAGTGTGCAAAGCTGGAGAGGAACAGCAGTGGGAGATGTGGAGGGAGGGGCGAGAGGTGACCCCAGAGCAGCACTGCCAAAAGCCACAGTGCTGGACCATGACAGAGAGGTTTGGCTGCTGGCTCTGCAGCCAACTCCACAAGGCCACTGCCACCTGAAAACATGCCACTAGCTCACAGGGAAGTTTGGTTCTGGGTTCCCATCCTACTCCAGAAGCTGGAGGGACATTGTCCTCCCAAGCCTGGTCCTTGCAGCCACCTTCAATCTGCAGCACAGCAGTTCAGTTTCAATGAGCCAAACCGTTCCTTAGGATGTCTTACACGCCCCTGAAGGTGGCTCAGCATTTTGGGTAACGCTGCCACCCTTTGGATTCTCTTTAGCTCCCTTTTGCAGGGTTTGATGTGCTCAGCACTGCAGCTGCCACAAAATTATGTCTGTGTAGGATTTTCTCAGGAAAGCCAGATTCAGAGACTCTCAGGATAAGCACTGTGAAACCAAGATACCCCAAGTGGGAATCCGGATTTGAGTCTTGCACATGCAGAGCTGCTTACCCACTTCCTGCCTTTTTGGGTTTCCCAGTCACCCCATCTTCTCCTGAGCTTGCCAATTCTCTCCTTCATGGTTTCTGGGCTTCCCCTGTCTTCTGCTTTCCACAATCAGCTACTTTTCCCAGATAATGGAGCTTCTCCTCCCCTCTGACTTCTTCACTTCCTTGAAGGCCAGTGGCTCCCAGTATCAAAGCATTTTTTATGTCCCTTTTCCAAGAATCCTGTCAGGACTGAAGCCTGCCCAGTAAGCACTGAAGGTGTTGCCTGACCATCTGGCTCACAAGGAGAAGGCACCAGGCAACCAGGAGAACAGTTAGGGATGCTCTGCTTGTGTGACATCCTGTAATACCCACATCAAACGAAGAAACAAGAAGAAAACCAAACAGCCCTCCATACCTGCAGTAGATTTTGGTGATCAAAACACCTCTGAAATCATCCATCGACACCTTAACATGCAGCCTGAGAGGCACAACGTAACCTCCCACAGCCTGGAGGCCCTAAGGCAGAATTCATCCCCCAGGAGCCAAAATGTTCCACACACACAAAGTAAGTCCCCGTGGTCTAAAAAGAGTAATAGGCAGGGAAATTAAAAAAAAAAAAAAAAAAAAAAAGAAATAAAATGTAATAGCTGGCAGAGCATCCCCATTTGAAATGGTAATTTACACTTATGCACAGTACCAATTACAGCCAACTTCATACTTCCCCACTTACTCAGAGCCATAAATCTATAAAGGAGAGTGCTGAACAGGGGAGGGAGGCAGAATCAGCTGGAGCTGCTCGGCACACCGCTCGGAAACAGCAGCTCCCCTGCTCTGTTTGGTTTCCAGAAAACAGGAGCAAAGCTGAAGGGTGTTTGTTAACATCCGTCCAGCCACCAGAGCAGTCAACTGCTCTGCCATCAGATGTCAATGGCCAGGTTCTTTGGTCCTTCAGCCTCTTTATTCTACCCCAAGTGAAGGTGTGGGTCTGAAATGCTTCCCTTTCATCTCGCAGAATGCCAGACACACTTAGGGTAGGAAAGAGGAGCGATTTCACTGAATGTGGGAAATGAAACACTGGCTTTCACATTCCCAGTTGAAGATGACAGCCTCATTCCCTGCATCAGCCTGGAGCACTCCTGGAAATCTGTATTTTCTGTGCATTCAATAAGGACAGGTTCCTTTACTGGGAAAAACACGCCACGGTGTAACTAAAGATTTTGCCACAATACTGGAAATAAAGGGAGAAGGGGAAGGGAAAGCAGGTTGTGCTAGAAACTTTCATGCAAGTATTTCCTAGCTTTCAATGATTTACCTCTGTAAAGTGCCTTTAACACTGTGTGTGTCTTGGGTTTTCAAAAAACTAAAATTGAAAACAAGTTCCCCAAGCTTCTATCTACAAAGGAGTAACTTTTAAACCTTTTTTTTAAACCTCTATTTCTAAATCCCTTAAGTATTTTCCATGTAAATATGCTGGGGGTTTTTAAGATGCCTGTCACAGAGAGACCCTGTAGATATATGTCAGGGACTTAAGGTTTCTATTTATCGCAATATGAAAAACTTCCTGGCCTGTCTGACAGCCACAGTTTTTAGGTTCACAGTTTTTAGGTTCACAGCACAACCCTGTGCTGTGTGAGCAAATGAATGTGATAGAAAATAACAACAGTATGCAGACCTATCACCAGAAAATGATGGAGGGTTTCACAACTACTTGTCAGGCACCTTCAGATTCCTGAGTTGTACAAACACTGTGTCAGGTCCTGCAGTATCAGATGCACTTCAAGATCCCTGTTCACCCTTCAGCTGGACTTTGTCCTCTTCTGGGTCTGCTCAACCCCTTTTGCTCCTGCACTCTGTCATTCAATATCCATCCTTTAATTTATTTCCATCCTGCAGTCCTTGAGCTGGTCCCAAGTGTTTATCCTGCCATCCTGTGTCTTGGCTCCTGCCCATGTCCCATCCTCCTGTTGGCATTTTCTGTGTTCTCTCAGCCCTTGCAGTTCACTCTTTCCATCCTTCCTCACTTCCCATCCCCTCCCGCTCCTGATCCTTTTGTTTGACTTTGGCTCGTCCCGAACCCAAAATACTGCAGTGGAGCCCCACCTGCACACAAGGCAGGGGCATTATTTCCAAAAATGACAAGTGATCATTGAAAACTCTGCTGTGGCATTTGGTCCACGTGCATTTGTGCACAGGTGATGCCACACAGCCCCTCCCCGGTGCTCCCAAATGCACAGTGAGGAAAAGCATTTCAGCCCAAGTTCAGGAAGCCCTTGCCAGGAGTCTTGGGCTGAGAGGGGGCTGCACATGCTGCTGGTGGCACCTCTGATAATTTTAACCAGTGGTGTTTGCAGCAGGAAGCTTTGTAGCAGATTTGTGTGTGCATATGTCTGATGCAATGGAGCTTTGAGGGACTGATGCCATACAACCCATCAGCACTGTCAGCAGGTATCGAGCTCATATTGACAAAGTGAGGATATGGAGCTGGACTTGTGAAAGAGAAATAGGTGGTATTGGCCTTGTAAGAGATCCTGCAACAAAACAAACAAGGAACACCCCAACTTTGTTACAGTTCAGCGTTGCTTATTACAA